TGGATGGACCTTGCTTCTTCAACTTGGTGCTCCAGAGAGTTCCTGACATGCACTTTAATAATGTAAAGGAGAGCCGGCGCTGCGGCTCACTAGGCTAATCCTTCGCCTTGCAGCGCCAGCACACCGGGTTCTAGTCCCGGTCAGGGCACCAGATTCTGTCCCGGTTGCCCCTCTTCCAGGCCAGCTCTCTGCTATGGCCAGGGAGTGCAGTGGAGGATGGCCCAAGTGCTTGGGCCCTGCATCCCACGGGAGACCAGGATAAGCACCTGGCTCCTGCCTTCGGACAGGCGCGATGTGCTGGTCGCAGCGCGCCGGCCGCGGCGGCCATTGGAGGGTGAACCAACGGCAAAGGAAGACCTTTCTCTCTGTCTCTTTCTCTCACTGTCCACTCTGCCTGTCAAAAAAAAAAAAAAAAATGTAAAGGAGAGACCAGGGAAGCAGAAGGAGGTAGAGGTGGTAAATGCAGGCTTCTGTAAGCTTGGACACATCTCAGGCACAGAGGACATAAAGGAGGTTCTGGGACAGAGGGATGAGTGGGAGGTGAGCGGGACGGAGGGACTGAAGGTGGTATGAGCAGGCCCCTGCCTTGCTCCCACTGCTGCTGCCTTCTGTCTTTGGTGTTGGGGTCTGATATCAAGCTCCCATCACCGTAGAGATTTGCCTGCTCAGACCAGGGCAAGAGGGGCCATTCCGCGGAGTGCTGAGAGAAGAGAAAAGCCACCTGTGCTTTGCTGGAGTCACTGCCCCAGTGAGAGAGGAGGCTGCCTGGCAGAGTCCTCCTTCAGATGGGAGCCTCTGTGCCAGCCTCTTGTTTCCTACAAAATGAGGCTTTGGGGTTTCAACAAGGAAGATGAAGGCAGCCCTTCCCAGGCACCAACCCTGGACTCCACAGGACTTGGGCATCAGCTGGGGTCATCCTTCACGGTGACACAGTGCTGCTGATGACTTGTTTGTGAAGGACCGGAAGCACTGCCAGGGCTTCCCCCAAGGTCTCCGTGGCTTCCCGACCCCCATGACTCCCCAGGGCAGGGGCACTGCTGACTTCGCTTCCTTTGCAGATGCCCTTTGTATTTTGAGCAGTCTTGTGTTTAACATCCAGAGAACACGCCCACTCACCCCGCGTGTCCAGAGAATGAGCTAAGGCAACATTTCAACTCTGCCTTCCAATACGGATGGCAGAAAAACAAGTTCCCAAACATCAAATGTCCCACCAGATCCCACTGCCAGGAGAGGAAAACAAAAGCTGGCCGGTGGGGGAGGGGAGCCCTCGACTTCCAGCATTCCATACACCTCATTATGAAAATCAGTGCTTCGTAGGCAGCGGAGTCTTCCATGCAGATCCACGCAGCTCTAAAGGCACACTGTCCGCTAAGTGGGAGCAGCTGCGGTGTGAACGGAGCGGAGCCACTCCCAGGCCCTAACTGGGAACACACAGCATCTTTCTGCAGTGGAGTTCACACTTCGCCCAAGCCCACAAACAGCATCCCTTCTGCAGTGGGGCCTAGCACAGAGAGCTGATCAGCAGAGATTCGTTATGTGTGGAGTCCCCAGTGGGCCCCGAGTTGTTGAAATCCCTCTGAGTGGAAGAAAAGCTATATACACAAACATTTCATCTAAAGCAAAATAATCTCTAAATGTCTCACTCCCCTTTCTGAGCCACCATCTTAGAAATTATTTCACATCTCCTAGAACTTGTGCCTCCTCTGCCCCAACAGCCTGGGGCAAAGTTCTGTAGCAAACAGGCTTCCGTTCTGTCAGGTGTAGCAAGGAACACGCCGCTCAGTTACAGAGCATGTCCTTTGCTCACCTTTCCCCTTTTGGCAGATGATAAACAGGTGTGTATCTTGCACACCTCATACAGTAGAATCTGAAAGTCTGCAACACTTATCTGCATATCTGCAGTCGGTCCTGTTCACTGTGGTGAGCGCAACCAGTAACTGTAGTAACGCTTTAGGATTTGAGAAGGACTGAACCATAGACTTGTCAACCAGGCATGGGCTGGCAAGGCACTGAGATAATCTGATTCTTTCAGTGATCACAGGAAACATTTGTTGAGATCCTTCTGTGGTTGGAACCGGGGCACAGACGTAAATGAACAAGCTCAGCTTCTGTCCTCAAGGCAGAAACCTTGACTACAGGCTACTTCAGTAGCGATGGGGGGACAAGATCCCAGCAGTAATCTGGGAAGTGGGAAGGCTTCTCAGAGGAGGTGGCGCTTGAGCTGGATTTGAAAGCAGAAGAGGAGTTACCAAGTGGGTCTGCATGGCAGAAGCAAGTGCTGTAATGAGGAAGCAGGTGCAGAAAGCAAGGTGGAGGTCACGGGGCAGAGGCGCCACAGCCGTTGGGTGGCAGAGCTGGCCTGGGAGCCGGGCCTTCTGCCTCTCTGTCTGGTCCTCCTTCCACAACCCTGCAGGTGGCATGTTCCCTGCAGTTGTATAGGTAGCCAGCAGCTCCCTGTGAAACCAATACTGCCTTAAGCTTGACTCAAACTTCTCATTTTTCAAAAAGAATATTCCAAATGAAACTTCCTAAAACAGCCTGTTCCAAAACACCTCAAAAACAGGGATGCTTCAGACCAAGCCAGTAGAGGACAGAGCTGCTTGGGCCACACCTGTGAGCCTTACTCCCCTGAAACCCCAGCCATTTTACCCTGGGATGAAGCCACGTGTTGGATTAGAGACTCTTATCCTTAACTCCACGCCAGTGTAAAACCCTGCTCGTGTGAGCAGAGAAACAACAGCCAGTGAGTGAATTTCCCACTCACAAAAGGATCCACACATTTGGGCCATTTCCCCCCAAACCCCCTTTTTTTTTTTTTTTTTTTTTTTGACAGGCAGAGTGGACAGAGAGAGAGACAGAAAGGTCTTCCTTTGCTGTTGGTTCACCCTCTAATGGCCGCCGCGGCCAGCGCGCTGTGGCCAGCGCACCGCACTAATCCAATGGCAGGAGCCAGGTACTTATCCTGGTCTCCCATGGGATGCAGGGCCCAAGCACTTGGGCCATCCTCCACTACACTCCCTGGCCACAGCAGAGAGCTGGCCTGGAAGAGGGGCAACTGGGACAGAATCTGGTGCCCCGACCGGGACTAGAACCCCGTGTGCCAGCGCCGCAAGGTGGGGATTAGCCTAGTGAGCCGCAGCGCCGGCTCACCCTCAAACCTTTAGAGTAGAGTCCAGGTTGATCTGGAAGACCTCAAGGAAAAGGCCTGTCTTGGAAGTGCACCATGCTACAAATCACCAAGCCCACCTCCTTCAGGAAGCCTTCCCACTGCTGCTGTGGCCCTGTCCCAGCTGCTCTCGTGCTGCCCTGCAGGGCTGTGCTGCGTTGAGCCTCAGTGTCTTTGAACACCTTCTCCAACATGATCTCGTAATTAATGATGGACGTAGAATTTAGAATAGGAAGCAGCTCAGGGGAATCACCCCCACCATCCCCTTCATTTCACATGCGAGGCAGGTGAGACCCAGAGAGGGAAAGGAAGCTGCTCAAGGTCACAGAGCTTGTACTTGGCCCCAGGCTACTGCCCGTGCAGGCTGCAAACTCCCTGCAGGTAAGGCTTGCGTCTGACAGGCTAACATCTGATCTAACGGAGCCCTTACTCTTGGCTTCCTGACTCAGTCGTGAGCTATGAAGGCAGGTTTATTCCATAGCTCTGCTTGCTTAACTTTTTCCTCTGTTTTCAATTCTGACAAGTCACGGCCCTCACTCTGGATCGCCGTTTTCTTCTCCGTTGAGTGAGAACACTGGGACGGATCAGGTCTCTTGGATCCCATCAAGTTCCGAAAGTTCTAGAATTACCCACCCGCAGCTGCATCCTTTGCTGCCCTCATTGTCCCACAGACCTGCTTTGCTCATTCCTCTGGCCTCAGATCCACATAGCCTAGAACCTGGGCTGGAGTCCAAAGGCCGGGGTTCAAATCCTACCTCTGTGATCCAGCACCTGTGGCCCTGAACAAGTCACTTCATCTCCGTTAGCTGCCTCCTCCTCTTCATTTTCTTCTTTAGTGACATAGGAGTAACAATACGTGATTGTCAGATTTGGTGACAGCAAAAAGATAAATTTCGTGGTGATAAATAGCAGGAAGAAGGCATTCGGTATATAGCTCCTTCTTTACTTTATTTCATACCCAGCATTGTTGAGAAATGAGCTGTTTCAAATAAGCACAGTTTCTAGATAAAAACAGGTTTGCTAGCTAGAGCCCTGAACATTGCCTAACTTTTGATTAAAAGCTTTTGGAAATTGGTTCTGTAGTCCTTGACACAGTGTGGAATGCTGAGATGTTAGGGGATTAGATCAAGGAACATCCCCACAGAGAGTGGGTGACGGCAGATTCTGGGGGTGCAGGGACAGTGCCTTGGAGGTAGTCAGCTCGGCAAACCGGGAGCCCCTGAGGGGTTGTAGGCAGGAGGGTGACAGTACCAGGTTTATTGGCAATGGATCACTCAGGCTACTGGCTGGTGAATGAGCCCAGTGGGGAAGGGGAGGGTAGAAAGGAAAGCTGGGTTTTGAGAAGCCCCCTTGAGAGATGGTGAGGCCCGAACAGAGCAGCGAAGAGTCAGAGGTGGGAGGCACATTTGCCAGTGCCCAGTAGCTTGATGAGAGAAAAAAAAAAAAAAAAAGACAAAAACAAAATCAACAGACTCTCAGTTCATCACAATAAAAATGTAAGGCACAGAGAAGCAGAACAAGACGTCACCCAGGAGCCTACCCCCCATGATAATAAGCGCTGGTAACAGGTTAAACCGCTTCGCCCAGTGTTTCTGAGCTGAAGAACTCCTAATGCATTTGCGGGCACAAATTTGATTTATAAAGACGTGGTCTGGGCAGACATATTCCAGACACAGCTCGCCATGTCCCCTGAGCTGTATCTCAGTGAGAGAGAAAACAGCGGGCTTGTAACTCTGTCCATTGCTCCTGGTGACCGGACCTCTGAAGCCAGATGCGTGGGGCCTGGCCAGCACCAGCTCCATGGCTGTTCTCACACTGTCCTCTTCTCCCACAGAGTCGGTGGAGAGCTGTCCTAGCAACTGCTATGGCAACGGCGACTGCATCTCCGGCACGTGCCACTGCTTCCTGGGTTTTCTGGGCCCGGACTGCGGCAGAGGTGAGGCCTGCACGTGGGACATCCGCTCCCCTGGATTCTCAGAGCGGCAGCTCGGGTTTCGCTTCCAGAGCAGGGGTGCGACTCCAGGCACCTTCTTCAGAACCCCTGGAAGGTGGTTTGTGGGCAGAGCCCTGGCCGTGTCAGCCCCTGGTACCCCCGTGTGCACGGGGCAGCCACAGGGAGTTTCGTGTGCGTGGCCCAGGCAGGCTAAATGGACTTCCCCTTAAAGGAGTCACTAGCCCTTGCCAAGCAGCTTTGAAGTTCATCTCCATGCTGGGGGGATTTCTCTCTGGCCTGTGGATAGGCAGGGGCCAAGAGTCAAGTTGGGCTCAGCTCTTCTCCTAAGGGGGCAGCAGGTGAATGGGGCTAAAGGAGAGACCTGAAATGCAAGAGAAGCCGAGATTGGCCAGGTTACAGGTTACAGTGAGTGGTGCTGCAGGGGCGGGGCAGGGCGGGGGCAGGGGCGGGGACTGTGGCAGACGGGAGACCCAGCTGCCCAGTCTTTCCCAGCCAGACCAAGCCCAGTCTGAAGCTTCCTGTCCGAGCTTCCTGGCAGCCAGGCCGCCACCTCGGTGGCCGGAAGGAGAGCAGCATTCAGTGGGCACCACCTGAACTGTGTCCTGTCACCCACAGTTCCACATGAGTTAAATGGGAATGACATAAAGCAAGAGAAACAGGCAGATGAGACCAAGCGGGTGTTCCTGAGGCCACCACCAAGACGAAGGCAGCTGGGGCGGGGGGTGCCGGATGTTGGTTCACACCAGGGTTCCGCTGTTGTCTCCCCAGCCTCCTGCCCCGTGCTCTGTAGCGGGAACGGCCAGTACATGAAGGGCAGGTGTCTGTGCCACAGCGGCTGGAAGGGCGCCGAGTGCGACGTGCCCACCAACCAGTGTCTCGACGTGGCCTGCAGCAGCCACGGCACGTGCATCATGGGCACCTGCATCTGCAACCCCGGCTACAAGGGCGAGAGCTGTGAGGAAGGTGAGACTCGCGGGTGCAGCGCTTGTCCCCCCCCCCCCCCCCCGTGACAGAGGCCAGCGCGCGGTGCGGGAGGGCAGCCAGCAGGCAGGGGACGCCCCCTGAGCCTCTGTGTGAATCCCCCAGCTGAGCCGGGATCCCACCACCAGCAGTGTTCCTCAGGAAGAGGATAGGTGGGCCCCGGCCAGTGAAGCGGAAGGCAGCCGTTCTCGACCGGGCTCCGTGCCAGAAGCCTGTGTCATCTGGCTTCAGGCCATTTCAGGGGGAAGAACCCTCTCCAGCTGACATTGGGGAAACTGAGACTCAGAGAGCTGAATGACTTCCCAGGGGCACGTGGCTGGCTGGGTGGCTTGGGCCCTGCCTCTGGCTCCATCGGCCAAGTTATTTCCACTCTCTTCTCTAAGTGCGTCTACTCATCTTCTGCCTCCGTTTCCAAAGTCCAATTCTATTACAGACCTCCAAACTCTGCCTGCCTGTATTGCACTCCTGTGTGTGTGAGTGTGTGTGTGTGTCTCCCGTGCCCAGGAGCCTGTCTCTCTTGCATAATGCAAATCCCAGGCTAGGCGGAGGATTTAGCCTAGTGAGCCGCGGCGCCCGGCCCTTTATTTTTTTTTTTTTTTTTTTTTGACAGGCAGAGTGGACAGTGAGAGAGAGAGACAGAGAGAAAGGAGCTGCTGATTTAACAGACACACCCACTCTTCCCTGGGAGGTCTAACCCGGTGCGATCAGTGAACATTTCTGTTGCACGAAGAAACTGAGGCCCAGGGAAGGACAAGAAGGGGCCCTGCACGTGGAGCCGACTCACAGCAGGGCTGGTGTTGCCCCAGGTCATCCCTTTTACTTCTCCGAGGGCGGTTTCCAGATGGGAGGGAGAGCCTCATTCAGAAGCCCCACAGAGCAGCTTTTAAGAGTTCACACTCTGCGGTCAGGCGTAGGTGTGAATCCTGGCTGCTCCGCTGAGCAGCCTCACTGCCCTCATCTATAAAATGGCCTTCCTCTGAGAGCCATTGTGCGCCCGGAGTTAAATGACCCAGGTGACGCACGGAGGTTCTGCGTCTCACACATTGTAATCGCTCCAGCCATGCATTTTTTTCTATCAGTAGCCTGTTTCCTGCCCTGCCCCATGTGCTACTCCCAAGGTCTTCTGCAGTGGGTGGGCTCTGCCCTGGGCAGCTGCGGGATGCTGTGTGCACTTGCCGTTACCCCCCATTCTCCACCGTCTAGCGCCCTAGCACCCTCCCCAGCGGCTGGACAAGGCTGCAAGGGGGAGCTGGTCCTCTAACCGCGTTTGCTACTTCTCAGAGAGTCCTTCTCTCCAGACATCGATTTCTCTATTAAGAAGAAAAAAAAAATAGACTTTTTCCAGGCCTGTTTTCAAAGAATGGGAACAGGAAGGGGTGGTGTTTGAAAAGCGGGGGCGCTCTGTCTGTCCGCCCCACGCAAGGTTGGGGTCCTGATGCAGACCTGTTGAGCTTGGTGGGGATTCCTCCATCAAGGAGCTTGCACAGCAAGCTGTGGTTTCTGAGAAAGGAGCGCCAGCCGCCAACCAAGGAATTCGGCTTTGCTATTCCAGGAATGGCGACCTTCATCCACTTCTCCTTCTCACTATAGCCCCTGGAGGTGAATTCCCTGAGAAGGAAAGGGAGACAGAGAGGGACTGCCCTTGACATTGTGGGCCGGCCCCGCCCCCGTGTTGTGTGGGCAGAGGGGGACCTGTTGCTCTCCAGATAAATCACACAGGACAGCATGGTTTGGGTTATTTACCAAAGAGAGAAAAACGTTGTTTAGAACTCTGATTTACGTTATCTGTTTGAAAGGCAATGTTTTTTACTCCTGCTTTCTTTTCTGAGGCGGGCCATCTGGTTCTGATTCTTTTTATTATTTCTGTCTCTCCTGCACAGCGCCAGCGTGCAGTCCTTGTGTTTATAATGGGGTTTGGGGGACCTTCCTCCTCCTCCTCCTCTTGCCCCCTGCCCCTGCTGCTCTGTGCTAAGCAGCTTCACTGTGTTTATAAAACATCAGCTAACAAGCTGACTTTTTTTCACTCTCTTCCTTCTTCTGAAGTTTATGGCCCCATATTTTTGAAAGTTTGAACCAAGCCAGCAGAAGGCTGGGAGGGACGAGAGGGAGGGCCAGAGGAGACCAAGCTTGGGCCTTGGGCAGGGAGAAGAGAGAGCCTGCGAGGTAGGTACTGCAGGATGGCCAGGAGCTCCGACAGTCCCTGGGAGCACCGCAGGGAGGGGTTGCCTCTGCAGCCTGCAGCCTCCTGGCTTCGTTCACGGGCTGAGCTTCTGGCACAAGTCTTGGCTTGCATGGCAAGCTCCATGGAGGAGGCGTTCCGGCTGGCATGTCTTCTGAGACCACCGAGTTAGGTTCTCTTCTGAATGTGGTTCAGCCTGTGGCCCTCGAAGCTTCACCTTTCCTCCTTGGTCCCCTCCAGCTCCCTCCTCCTGTAGGCCCATGCCCTTCAGCTCCCTGGGTGACTCCCCACGGTGGTAGGAGGTAGGTGACTTTGATTCCACCCAAGGGTCCCTGCCACCAAGAGACCCCAGGAAGGGGGCAGATCCAGACCTCTTTGGCTGAGCGGCACTGTAGCATGGCTGATGGCCCTGGGCTTAGGAAGACAGAGAGCAGGGCCAGGGCCCATCTCAGCCTAGCTTCCTGGACCTGCCCTCTCTCCTGGGAACTGAGGCCCACCCCAAGCTCTGTGGGTCCCAAGGCAAGCATCAGAAGTGACAGTTAATTGCCTGGAGGTGGCCTGTCATCACCTGTCGTCTCGATCTTTGTGCTCTGCTTGGGATGTGTCTTGCTGGCTCCTGGGCCCCATCACACTCTCTGCATCTTTGGACACGGCAAGGCTGGAGCACCAAGGGCCTCTGGCTGAACTTGGTCCCCTCCGCCTGCTCAGCGACACAGACGTATGGACCTCAAGGGTGCCCAGGGATTCTCGCAGTCACTTGCAACCCAGAGCCGGGGTCCAGGCACTCACAAAATGGGAAATACCTCGCGAGGCCTCAGGACAGGAATTGCTGAGTTGTTTCCTGTCCAAGTGGAAAGCTCGCTGGGTCTAGGGACTTATTGGAGCAGCCTAATGGGCCCGTGCAATCCTTCTGAGGTTCTGAGGTCTGAGGCAGCTCAGGAGAATTTACCACTGTGATTATTTTTACTCTGTTTAATTACTAGACATTCTGACGGGTCGTGTTTGAACCCTTAGGAAGTGGCGTCCAAAGCCGGCCAGGGAGGGTGCACTTTGCCTTCATTTGGCCTTGTTCATACTCCACATAGCTCTATGTCTTTTCTTGTTTTATTTTCTTGGATTTCTATTTTTAAACTGCATTATGGGTTTATGTAAGTGTAGGTTCATGCATGTATTTTTAAGTCAGTGACATTATAAGAAGAAATCTCAAGAGGTCCATACCAGGAAAGAGGGATCTGTATGTAAAACCTCCTCGGCTCAGTGCTGTGTGACCTTGGGCAAGGTATCACCCTTCTCTGTGCTTCCAGTTTCCCCATCTGTAGAATGAGCCAGTAGTAGCCAGCTCATCCAAAGACTGCCAGGGCTCAGTGAGATAATATACTTGAACTGCTTAGAAATACAGTGTGATGCAGAAAGGAGGCTAGAATAACGCTAACTGTTGTGATCATCACTTTGCCTTTAGCCTGTGGTCACTCAGGACTTCGGAAGTTCTCATTCATCCCTTAGGTCACTGAGTTGAACTCCTTTAAAAACCTAACTAGTAAAAGAGATTTCTTTTTTTGTGTTTTAAGATTTATTTATTTAAGAGGCAGAGTTAGAGAGAAAGAGAGACAGGGAGACAGAGAGAGGTCTTTCAGCTGCTGGTTCACTCTCCAAATGGCCACAACAGCTGGAGATGAGCCAGTCTGAAGCCAGGAGTCAGGAGCTTCTTTGAGATCTTCCACGTGGGTGCAGGGGCCCAAGCACTTGAGCCATCCTCCACTGCCTTCCCAAGCCATTAGTAGAGAGCAGAATCAGAAGAGAAGCAGCCAGGACTCAAACCAGCACCCAGATGGGATGCCAGTGCCGCAAGCAGATGCCTAACCTACTACGCCACAGCACCAGCCCTGTAAAAGAAGTTTCATAATAAGCTGGTCCTCAAGTGTTCCCAAATGTTGCCTTTTGCAGTCTTCCCTTTTGTTTCTATGCCTCTTAAATACCAAGGCTGCATTTCCCAGGCTTTTGTGCAGAAGAGAAATGCACTGGGCTATAAAATATAATAAAAAAAAAAAAAAACACTTAAAAGAATGTCTGAATTCTAAATGAGCTCTGACGATAGCCTGCCCAAGTCATGTGACTGGATGTCCTGATAGGATGGGACAGTAACTTCTCGGCAGCAATTTACAGTTCATATACTGCTCTCAAATCCTCACGCTCATTTGGTGCTCATAGCAACCTTGGAGTTGGATAGGAACCTTTGTAGATAGGAAGCTCAGAGCAGACTGTGGTGTAGAACCAGTCCATTTGACCCCACAGCCCATGAGCCTTTTGGGTCCTCAGAAGGCAAATACTGAGTCTTTTCCCTTACAGCACAAGACTTGTCCATGAGCTTCTATAAGGAGGAGCCTGGGGGCTGGTGCTGTGGTGCAGCAGGTTAAATCCCTGGCCTGAAGTGCCAGCATCCCGTTTGGGTGCCGGTTCTAGTCCCGGCTGCTCCTCTTCTGATCTAGCTCTCTGCTATGGCCTGGGAAAGCAGTAGAGGATGGCCTCAGTCCTTGGGCCCCTGCACCCATGTGGGAGACCCTAAAGATGCTCCTGGCTCCTGGCTTCTGATTGGCGCAGCTCCAGCCGTTGCAGCCATCTGGGGAGTGAACCAGCGGCTGGAAGACCTCTCTCTCTGTCTCTACCTCTCTCTGTAACTCTGTCTTTCAAATAAAATAAATCTTTAAAAAAAAAAAAAAAGGAGGAGCCTGACCGTACTCATGAAGTGCAGTCAACATTCTCTCCACCTGCTACGTGTTGGTTGAAGCCCCTACCAGGACACCACTGTCCCCTTAAATTACAATGTAAATAGAATTCCCTACCTCTCTGAACTGAATGACGACCCTAACAAGTTTTGATAGAACAGAGAACATGCCAATTCTATATTCTTCCTACTCATTTTTTTTAAAAGATGTGTTTATTTGCAAGACAGAGAAGGAAAGACAGAGAGACAGAGACAAAGAGAGAGAGACAGAGAGAAAGAGAGGTCTTCCATCCACTGGTTCACTCCCCAAGTGTCTACAACAGCCAGGACTGGGCAAGCCAAAGCCAGGAGCCAGGAGCACCATTCAGGTCTCTTATGTAGGTGGCAGGGACCCAATTCATTTTGACCTTGCCACCACCACCACCACCCCCCCCCCACAAGCCCTACATGGGGCTCCTTGAATTTTCCATATGAACTGGAGCCATTTTATAGTTATTCACAGTACTCTTTTACTTTTTCTGTGCAATATTTGTGGAAGATTAGAGGTCTCTGTTAATTTTATATAGTCCCATAACGAAAGCTTTGATTTGGGGATGTTAGTCCCTAATTGAAATATCACTGGCTTCAGAATCAGACTGTCTCACATTGCTCTCTGTATGTGGAAAAATTAAAACTTTTATGTACTCTTGGTGTAAAGTGTTAGAGCCACCGTGGAAGACTGTTTTATTGCCCCTCAAAAAATTAAAAATAGAATTACTGTATGATCCAGCAATTCCACTTCTGGCCATAAATGCAAATGAATTGAAATCAGGGTCTCCAAGAGAGATTTGTATACCTATGTTTGTAGGATCATTATTCATGGTAGCCAAGTGGTGGGAGCAACCCAGTGTCCACTGACAGATGAATTGATGAACAAACTGTGGTCTGTCCATCCCATGGATATTATTTAGCCTTAGAAAGGAAGGAAGTTTGGGCACATGCCACAACATGGGTGAACTCTGAGGATATTATGCTAGGTGAAATAAGGTAGTCTCAAAAGACAGATACTGTAGGACTCCACTTATACAGGGACCTAGATTTGTCACATTTCTAGCAGCTGTCTAGAGGGTGCAGAGTTTGGGTTTTACAAGATAACGAGTTCTGGAGCTGGATGGCAGCAATAGTTGTACAGCCGTGTTAATGTTCCTAACACCACTGAATAATCCACTTCATAGTGGGGGAGATGAGGACACTTGGGTAACTGGGGAAGATTTTTCTCTCTGGCAGAGTTCAGCTGTATGATGTGAATTATGCACCCACCCGAGCTTCCCTTTCTGTGCCTCTCTGGGTTACTGAGGAAACAGAGCACTGAGCACAGCGAAGCACCGAGTCAGAGCGCACAGGGTATTCCCCTATCCCTGGTGCTGGCGGGCTCTCTCGAGATCATCTTGACCTTGGGGCCCCCCAAGTCTTACATGAGGCTCCTTGACCGTGAGCCACCGCTTTATGGCTCATCCACCACCTAAGGAGAAGCTGTGCGGAATCAGCAAGGATCATCTTGAAGAGCCCTTGAAGCATTTGCCTTCAGGCAAGTGAAGTTTGGAAGCTGAGATCAATCCTAAGACTTGAGGAAGGTGATGGACCCTACTGGCATTCAATTGCAAAATAAGTTCTCATTTCGTTCAGGGATCTCATCACTTCCTCTCTTGCTCATGCAAGTGCAACTTGTGCGATAATGTGCTAAGCAATAGTGTTGCTCTCTGCAGATGTGTGGAACACATCCCACCTGCTGCCCTTGTCCTAGAAGGAGGAGATGCTGGGGTGAACAGAACAAAGACTTGTCATCTGCCATTGCTATGGTTACAGAGTAGGCACTGCTGCTGGTTGTTTATGCATTTATGCTCTGTCCACCCACAGCCATGAGGGAGCAATTTGCGTCCACACTGCACAGGTGAGGGACCCGGGACTCACGTGACAGGTGTAGCACTTGCTAAGGTACCACTCTTCACTGTGCCATGTGGCCTCTGCACAGATCTGGGCCCTTCCTCAGGGCGTGGGAAGCCCCTAAGTGAGAAGGTTTACTGTTGGTGAAAGAATCTTGGCTTTTGCTGGTCAGCTGCTTACCCTTGTTCTTCTCTCTCCTCCGTGTCCCAGTGGACTGCATGGACCCCACCTGTTCAGGCCGGGGTGTCTGCGTGAGAGGCGAGTGCCACTGCTCCGTGGGATGGGGAGGCACCAACTGTGAAACGCCCAGGGCCACATGCCTGGACCAGTGCTCAGGCCATGGCACCTTCCTCCCGGACACTGGGCTCTGCAGCTGTGACCCAAGCTGGACCGGACACGACTGTTCTATAGGTAAATGTGGGCAGAAGCGTGGGTGGTGGGAGGGGCTCCCACTGCTAAGTGTTAACCACTTGGTCCTGATTGAAGGTGTGATCCTGTTCTCTGTCACACCACAGCAGGTGCCCTGTGTCTCTGGTGCTTTTCTCCTTTGCCTGGACAGCAGCCCCCTGCACCTCTCCTGTGGCTGGGCAAAAGATTCAAAGCTTGCATCCTCAATTCATTCCCTCCGTGGTGTGGCCTTGAGATGTGAAACAACACCCCTTCCCAGTGTTGCCTAAAATTATAGATGTGTTTCATGGAAATGTTGCCACTCCCATTAACAGTGTTCTCCCTGCAGGCAAAGTCAAGGGGATCTTAGGGTTCTTAGACAAGATCTGCAGGAGCAGGGCTCTGTAGGATGCATGGCCCAGTTATTGAACCCTTTGGTTTCATCCACTCCTCAGAATGAAGTCCAAGCTTAGTGTGCTGTTTACCGTCCTCTGCAACTTGGCTCCCACCTGCCTTTCTGGCCAGACTGTAAGCTCCATGAGCTTAGCAAACAAACCTTTCTCGTTTGTACAGCCCCAGAACTCAGCGTGGGCCTGACTCATAGCAACAGCTCAGTAAAGATGGCTAGATGGATGCATGGATGCATGGAAGGAAGGAGACAAAGGGAGGATGGATAGATGATGAATAGGCGAATCCGTGATTGAACGTATTCTTGATTGTGATATTCGATTTGCTGCAGGATGTATACATGTAAAGCTCAAAGAACAATTACATTGGCCCCCTTTGCTGTGTAAACATTTTATGATTTGTAGACCCTCTTAAGGTAAAGAGTAATTGAGTGCATAGGTGATTCCCCCAGCACAGTATTAGATGGTAGGTTATATGGTATCTAGCAGGTTGTATCCACATCTGACACCTCATTTAATCCACACCAAAGCCCCATGAGAAAGCTGTCATCATGTCTTTTCTACCAATTACATAACACTTTACCACAAATACTTACAGAGCAGAGGAATGGAGATGAGAAAGTTGCTACGTTTGTAAAGCTAGAATTCTGGAAAGAGGGGAGGGGGAAAGAGGAGAGGGGAGACAGCAAACAAACAAATGAAGGAAAAAAAAAAAAAAACACAGGGAAAGCCCAGGCTCAGGAACTGTTCAGTCAGTGCTGTGCAGGGACACACGCCTGAAACGGGGAACCTCTCCAGTTCACTGAACTTCCTTCCTTCCTCTTGCTTTCTTTTCTTTTTTCTTTTCTTTTCTTTTCTTTTCTTTTCTTTTTTCTGTCTTTCTGTCTTTCTGTCTTCTTCTTTACTTCCCTCCCTCCCTCCCTCCTTTCCTTCCTTCCTTCCTTCCTTCCTATAATTATTTATTTATTTTGAAAGAGTTACAGAGAGAAAGTGCTTCCATTTGCTGATTCACTCCCCAGATGGCCACAAGTGCCTGGTCTGGACCAAGCCAAAGCCAAAAGCCTAGGGCTTCATCCTGGTCCCCCATGTGGATGCAGGGGCCCAAACACTTGGGCTATCCTCCACTGCTTTTCCCAGGCCATTGCAGGAAGCTGGATCAGAAGTGGAGCAGCTGGGATGCTGGCATCACAGGTAGCAGCTTTATCCACTTTGCCACAACACCAGCCCCTCCAATGATGTTTTCGATCCTAGTCACTTTCCTCGTCGCTCTACACTGTTTAATCAAGATGAAGATCAAATTATCCTGTGTTGTATATTAACAGATCCAGTTGTGATCAGGAAAAATGATTGAAACCTTTGAGAAAAATGAGATCCACGTGACATTCATGCCTTTGGAATACTTTAATTGTACCTTTCCCCATTGAATAGTGAACCGATGTTCAATATGCAATCCAAACTGGAATTTTATCCTTGTTTGCAAAGCTCATGCAAAGACATGATTGTAAGCAACATAGTTCTGTTGATAGCAAGATAGCAGATGGTTTTCTTACGGCAATACTGGCTTGCCTTGTTCACTACGTGGCCACGCAGCTGACTTACGACAGGTGTGCAGCTGGCCTTGCACTGGCAACCCCTGATGTGATTGAACGGCCCCTACAAAGGCTGGTAGAACTTTGAGTGAGGTCACCAAACGCTCTTTAGCTGGCCCTGTGAAAGGAGCCGCCAGACTCACTGGAAGGGATGTTGAACAGAGTAGTGAGATTTCTTTCTCAATCCCGGTACCCCATCCCCCATCACTGGGATCAAGCACATTCTCATACGTGACCTCCTGTGTGAAGGCAAAGCGAGCCACAGTGAGAAGAGCCCCTGATCACACAGACCTGGGTTCAAATCCTGGCCCTGCTGCTTGCTGGTTGTGACTTGGGGCAAGTCACTTCACCCTCGTAAGCTATGAAATGTAGATAAGAATAGTCTCTACCTTCTGAGGTTATTGGGAGAATTTTTTAATGCAAGAGAGAGCTTAGCACCCTCCTTTGCCCGTGATATGGCCTCAGTAAACGTTAGGTATTGTCCTGAGTAGAATACCCATCAGTGAAAGCGCCTGGTATTAACGAAGATGTTTAATCGTGAGAGGCGCAGCGAAATGTACCCTCTCGGAAGTGTGGACTATAGCTTAGTCACTAGGCTGTAACTGACGAAAATGGTGTCATGACTGCTGTGAGGCTGAGGATGTAAAAGCTGGCTTCAGATTTGCTGTCTCCCCTTGCACTAGGAACAGCAGTTTGTGTTAGTTGAGGATTTCATGGCATACAAAATTATTTCACACCGAAACACACACAGCCCCCACAGCAGCAGCCCCATGAGGGAAGGAGGACGGGTTTGATACCTCTTGCGTTCCTGTGACGACGCTCTGGGCAGTGCTGTGACTCGCCTGTGGCACGCTGGGACAGGAGGAGGCCAGGAGTCAGACGCCAGCCTCGGGCTCTGGGTCCACCTGCTGCCCACTGCCCACTGTTTGTGCTCAGCTCACTCCCCGACCGCGAGCCACTTGGGGAGCTGTGACAGTGCCTCACCCCCTTCCGAGATTCATTACCTTCTGGGATTCAGCCCTGGTTCTGCGACACGCTTAACCGCGTGAGCTTGGCTGCACCCTTAACTTTTCTTGACTTGGCTTTCTTTATCTGGAAAGTGAAGCTAATAATAGTAGCTACCTCCGCGGGGTGTGTGATCATTAAATGGTCTCATTGTTGTGCACACGTTGAACAGTGTCTATCATCGGATGAGCACTTCTGTCTTCCTGCCACACCCCCTCCAAGGGCACGTGCGCTGGGTGAAGCTGCTTCCAGACTGGGGAGCTTTTCCCGTGAAGCTAAGCGAGGGATGCTACACTGCCTGGCTCCACCACGGCTCAGTGACTGCCTTTGTGTTTAGGAACTTAGCTACAGGGCAGAGGAACAGGCTTGATTTCAGAAGGTTTGTTCCCTGCTGCTCTTATGGCTTCAGCAAGTGGCTTGACCCCAACCCTCTGTTTCCTCCTAGGTCAAAATACCTTAAAGCGTTGTAGTGAGGATTAGATGAGGACACACAGGTGAAGTGGTTGTCATAGTGTCAGACGTGGGTACACGCTGGACAAGCCGGGGCTCTGTTTGTGTTATTTATGCTGCTTGCAGCCTGGCGGGACAGGGCTGGCACAGGGGATGCCCAGAGCCTGGCCACCAGGGGCTGCAGGCCAGCAGCGGTGTCCTCCATGATCCTCGTGCCATCAGCATTGGCCGTGGGCTGCTGGGCTGGCAGGGATGGGCCCCCGCCGTCTGCCGCCTGCTATGAGGGAGGACTGTGTCTTCCTGCGATGAGTATCTGGCTGTTTGGCACCGAAAACAGGATTTAATGAAAGGAGCTTAAATCAACATGGGCCTGCTCTCGACAACCAGCCCCGTAATGAAATGTGAGCTGACAAGCTCCCCGCACTCTGGTGAGGTTTGTGGAAACAGTGAAGTCAGATTCTACACAAGTATTGACTCAGGTCCCTGGGTTTGCAGCAACTTGCCTTCTGGTCTGGTCTTAGAATTCGCCCCCTTCCCCGCTTCGCTGCCTGCCCCCCCAAGTCCAGCCTCTTTCGTGTGCTCTTCCTGACTGATAGCCACACAGGTAACCGTCTGACCAGCTTCCTGTGGCCTGGGGGATGTCACCCCCTGAGTCATTTGGGAGGAGGTTGTTGATGAGGATGGTGGTGGTGATGATGGTGATGACGATGATGATGCTGATGGGTCAGGGAATGGATGACCATCGCTGCGGTCTTACAGACAGCAAAGAGCTGGAGGGAAGAGTGAGTTGCCCAGAGGAATTCAGCCAACCAATGGCAGAGCTTGGATTAAGCCCAGGCCTCTGTGTGCAAGTCCTCAGCTGCTGCCTCGTACCCCCTTTCCATAGAGAGGTTTCCTTGCCCGTAACCTAGGCTTGCTTTCTGCCGTGTCATGGGGTGGGATGTCAGTGAAGGAGCGTCCATTTCTTTGTGCTTCCCACACCCCAGGCACCAACCTGTGCTTTACAGTCTTATCGTAGTTGAGGTTCATAAGATCCCTGTGAAGGAAACATCACTAGGATTATCGTTTTCCACAGCGGGAAGCTGAAGTACGGAAAGATTAAATGGCTTTCCAGGACTAGCCACTACACACACACACACACACACTAATTAGTGGTCAGACCCAGATTCAAGCCCCAGCTGCCTCCAAGGTCTCTCCTAAGTCCCAGAGTATAGGGAGCCCTGCTGTGCACTTGGGCCTCTTCCTAACCAAGCTATGAACTCTGTGAGGGCAGCATCTGTCTCCCTAGAATAGGGCCAGACAGGGGCTGGGTTCTGAGTGCTTGCTGCATGGATGACCCCACCGGCGAGAGGCCAGATGTCACCCCCTGCAGGTGACGTCATCCTCCCTTACAAGTGGCCCCACTGGGCAGGGTTCGCCTCTGCACAAGGCAGCCATGCTCAGAGGCCTGCTGAGCAGAGGGGCCCCTCCTTCCCACCCACCAAGTGCTTTCTTGGGTCTGAGCTGCCACAGCCAAAGGCCAGGGATTCAGCCTCTTCGAGATGGTCCTTAGAATGGGAAAGGCCTGCTTTCC